TGGGTCCCCGGCGACTAACAACCTGTCTGCGTCGCCCGCTGGCTGGGAGTCACTGCCGGCTGCGGGTGGGGGGCAGTGCCCTTTGGGGGGGGGGTCAGGCTCCCCCAGGGGGGCTCGCTGCAGGGAGCTCACGGGGTGACCGAGCCGGCTCCTTGCCCGGGGGGAGTGAGCCCCGAGGGGAGACCCCGCCCCAGAGTCCTGGCCAGCTTCATCCAGTTCCTGAGCCTGCAACTCCGTGACGACCCCCATTTTGTAGAGGGGGAAACTGAGGCACAGAGGGGGGAAGGGATGCACTGGAAGCTGCACTGCCAGTCACCCGCAGTGATTAGGACACAGGCCACCTGTTTCCCAAGCCACCCTCTGCTCTCACCACTAGCCCCCCCTTTTCTAGAGCCGGGGATAGAACCCAAGAGTCTTGGCCCCCAGCTCCCCTTGCTCTGACCTAGACAACTTGCCCCACACGCTCCATCTCCACAGGCCTCAAACCCTCCTGGGACCTGCGAGGAGGGTGCGGGATGTCAAGTGGCCAGCGGGAAGCGTGACCTGGGGACATCACGCTCCAGCCTGACGGGGTCAAGCCCCAAGCTGACAAGCTCCCCGCCCCCACTAACTGATTTATTTCGGGTCAGGCCCAGACTCTCATGTCCAAACGCTTTCCCCACCCATCACCTGCTGCCGAAAACAAAACAAAACGTTCCTGGCAGAAGTCATTCCTGGGACCCAGGCGTCCGGGCAAGTTGGGGGAAGGGGTGTGGGGGTCTGCAGGTCTGAAGCCAAGCAACTATCTCCCATTCACTACTCTCCAAGAACCTCCCCCCTGCGTTGCCCCTTCTCCAGGCATGAGACTCATTCCTGGGACCAGCAGCTCCCCGTAAGAATCGGGGTCCCCCCAGCCCCCCAAAGGTGCATAAGAGACACCCCCTGCCTCAAAGCGCCTGCTGGGGAGGGGTCTCCCTAAAGCCAAACTCTGCCTCCGCTGTGGGCAGGTCGGCTCAGATCGCAGCAGGGGCCGGGGCACACCCTGGGGCTTGTTTGATCCCGGGGTTCCCCAGATTCAGCTCTCCCCCTCCCCACAACCCACCGGCCCCCAGCGCATCACTAACGCAGCAGCTCCAGATTCGGGAGCCCCCGGGCGCGTGAGCCTTTGGAGAGCCCCGTCCTGCAAAGGCCGGTGGGCCAATAGTAGCAGCCACGGCTATAGGTTGCCCCCCCCAGCTTCGCACAAGCCCCACCGTCGCCACACGCCAAGGCACTTCCAGGCGCTGGGAGGAAAACAGCAGCTGTTTGTCTGTAATCCGCGCTCCTCGGGCCCGGGTTTGAGGATGGACAATCGGCCCCGGGGCTTTGGTACCATGCAAACCCCCCCTCCCTCCCCCCAGGCCGCCAAGCCACCGGCCCATCGACCTCGCCACTCGCCAGGGATTCAACGATACTCGCAACGCCGGGTGCTCGTTGGCAGAGGATTAAACACCGCGGCGGCTGGAGGCGCTTCTGCAAACAAAACTTAATTCTAAGGCAGAGCGGGGGAAACCCCCCCCCCGCCAACGCACCGAGAAGGGGCCAGGAGTCCGACGCCGCCAACCCCCATTTGCCCCTCGCAAGCTGGCCGACTTCAGCCCCGTTTCACAGCCAGGGAACTCGCCCAATGGCACGGAGGGAGAATGAACCCGGGTCCCCCCCAGTAACTCCCCCAGTCATAACCCAGATGCCCCAGGCTGCAGAGCTCTGCACAGCCTGGGGTTCAACTGAGAGACTGGGGGGGGGGTCCAACCATTCCCTGAGAGTGGGAGGTGAAACCGACAGCAAGGCCAGTGGCCCCTCCCTGCACATTGCAAGCCGGCTGTTTTGTTTGCAACAAAATCCTTCCCTTCCCCCCAGCAGAGCCCCCAGGGCACAAAGCATTTAACAGCCCCCCACCCACCAGAACTGCACCCCATGGGTTCGCAGGATCCTGGCTAGATGCATTGCCAGACCCTATGAACCCTGCACACGCACCCCCGGCTTTCCCCGGCTTGTTAAGGGTCACAACAAAGGCCCAGGTAAGAGGGGGCTGGGGGTTAATTTCCCCCAGGGTGGCAGATCTGGGGGGCACACACACACTCTCACACACACACACACACACACACACACACACAGAGCTAGCATCCTCGGTTGCATTTGCTTCCCTTCTGCACAATCACGCCATGCACACCAACTGTCCAGTCCTGCCGCTCACACTGGAATCCACTGGCTTCTGCCTTCCCACACCGGGGAGGAAAATGAATAAAAAGCCCAGCCCCGCTCCTTATCGGATCCAAACAAACCCCTTTGTCTGGGAGCGACTCAGTCTCCGAGTTCGCTGGACAAGGTGGGTGGGTGGCGAGCCCCTACCCCCCCCCGGAATCCAAAGGCAGGGGAGCCGGCCTGCTGATCACGCCAACCTTGGGCGAGCAGAAATGACGGAGACGTGAAAAGTAAAACTGGATCGCCATGAAATCAGATTCTCCCCGCCCTGCGGTTTAATGAGTCCGACACATTCCCCACCGCCAGCCCCCCCACGTTACAACACAGCAAAAATAAAGGCCGGGGGCGGGGGGGGGAATAACCCACCAAGCAAAACCTCTTAACTCCCGGCTCGCAAGCACCACCCATTGCCTCGCCAGCTACCTGGGAAAGAACTATTCCGAACACGCCGGCCAAGGAACACGCAGCAGCTGGCGGAGGAGGAAATCAAAAATTTATGAGCCCTATTGAAAGCTATTGTCGGGCAGGCTGGGGTGGGGGGGAGCCGTTCCAAATTTGTGGGCTTTGAGAGTGGCAAGTTTATGTTTTGTATTATTTATTACAGTTTATGGGGAAGAAGGGGCCGAGACGCACGACGCCCAGGGGCGTAGGCGGGGCCGGGAGTCCTTGGCAATTGTTTAATAACACTTTGCTTTAAGTGCTTTTCCGCTCATGTGAACTTACACCAGGGCTAGACTGGGGATGGGAATTCATAGGTAGCACGGCCGACGGGCCAACCTCCGTCCTGGCGTAACCCCAGACGTGAATATGCCCAGATGCTTTCCTTGAACAGACCAGATTTTCCTTACATCAGTGTCAATCCAGATTTAATTCAACAGAGTCGCTCCGGATTGACACCGGCAGCAGAATTGGACCCAGGGTTCGCAGAGGAAGGACGACATCACAATGGGAGACATATTTTACCTCGGTCGGGGCGGGGGGGATTTTGCCCGGGCCGGATGAGGAAGGAATCGTAGCCTCAGCCTGAGAAGGGTGGAAATGGATCTAGGGTGTGTTACAGGGCAGTGCTCGGCCCTGTCCACACACAGGCACCAAAACACTCTAAACACACACCAGCCCCTCCGCTGACACAACGGGCCCCGATTCCCACCGGCCCCGGCTCTGGCCCAGCCCCCCAAGCGAGGAACAAACCGAACACCTGGAGAACCGGAGCCGTGTCGGGAAGCAAAGTCTGCAGGGGAGCAGGAACTCCTAACCGGGGGCTTGTCAGCCTAACGAGAGCCAGCAGCTGGAAGTGGAAGCCAGACAAACGGACGCAGAATTTTAACACCCCGGGTACGTCTACACTGCAAAAAACAATTTCCTGCCCCAGGTTTCAGAGCCCGGGCTCCAGCCTGAGCCAGAGCATCCACACTGCGAGTCACAGCCCCGTGCCGTGACCCCACGAGCCCCGTGTCCACTGACAGCCCCCTGCCCCCTCTGCCACTCAGGGCCACAGGCAGGTTGGGGTTTCTTGCAGCACAGACGTACCCAGAGAGTAAATTAGCCACTGGGACAACTTCCCACGGGCAGCGACGAATCCTCCAGCACCGGCAAACGTTTCAATGCTGGACGTCTACGAGAGCTGCTCGGGTTCAAACAAGAAGGAATTCGGGGCCGGCCTCCAGCCTGTGCTGTACAGTGGGTCAGCCTAGATAACCGCAGCAAAGAGCTAATCAATACACCCTCTCCCAGCAGCCGGCTACCGCCCCACGGGAAGGCAGGGGGCATTGCTCAGAAAAGAGCTAAATGCTGGAACAGGACTTGCGGGGAATAACCTGGCCACGGGGAGAGGAGAGATGGGGAACAGCTGGGTGAATGGGGCTTTCGGCTGGGTTCTCCCACAGAGCCCTGCTTCGACCCCCGCGCACACGCATCGTGCACACGTGTCGTGCACACGCGTCGTGCACACGCGTCGTGCGTGGCTTAGAATGCCCATGGCCATTGCAGTAAGCTCCCTGGTGCTAATTTCCAGCCTCGGGCACCAGAGCGGGACCGCGGGAGCCCAGCTCAGCCTCGGGCAGCCAGCGCCACCCACCCTGCCCAGCCGGGTGCACGTGGGCGTCTCTGTGGGCTTTGCCCAGCCCCGCGAGGCTGCCATGACCTGGCACATGCATCCCCCAGCAGCAGGGGCGGGAGGAGCCAGCCAGAGGTGGCACCCTGGCTATATTTAACGGATTTGCACGCCCGGGCGAGTCTCTCAAGTCCTGTCCCCGTTGGCAGCTGCCAGACGGTTCTTTTGGCTGCTTTACAATCCCCCCCCCCCCCCGAAAATAGCCCATTTGGGGGTTTATAGGAACACTTGCAAAGCCACTGGGTCTCACTGCCAGAGCGAATCAGCCGCCCAGGGACTGAGAGACGCAGCCCCCCACCCAAAGCATTCAGCTCCCCACTTGCAGGTACCTTTCTCCACCCCCCTTTCTGCAACCCCCCCCCGTGCCCACTCGCCATCCAGCCCGCGTCCACCCCCTGCCTCGCCCCAGCCCGCAGCAGCCCCACGCCCCACCTGCCTGTGGGGGGTCAGGGTGAAACGATCGCAAAGTTGGGGGGGCGCACAGCGATTATTCCCTGCCCCCCCCGGAGCAACCCCCCCCCCTTTGAAAAGCCACCCTGCGGGAGCCACCTCCCCCCCCACTTCACTTTTGCTCGGGGTATTTCTGCCCGCCCGCAGCAACGTGTGCCCCCCCCGGCCCCTCTGCCCCCCGCCCCCGCCAGCAACCCCCCCGGCCCGTCCCTACCTTCAGCAGCAGCCAGTGGCTGAAGATCGCGGGCAGCCAGCGCAGAAGCTTCATCGCGGAGGGGAGAAACCCGCCGCCCGCATCGGGAGCGGGGCAGGGCGAGCTCGGGGCCCGGGGGGGCCGGTCAGAGCGGGGGGGGCCGGTCAGAGCGCGGGGGGGGCCGAGCCGGCAGCGGCGCCGGCAGCAGAAAGTTGGCCCCGCACTTGCTCGGGCAGCGCAGCTTCCCCGCTGGGGGGGGCGGGGGGGGCGGGAACGTGGGGCCAGCCCCTTAATTCCCCAGCCCGCCAATCCCAGCCCGCCCCCCCCGGCCGGGCTCCGTGCGCTGGGAGATGCGGCTGGGAGGGGCCGGGTGAAAGTGACCCCCCCAAACTACCTAGCCCCCCCTTCCGGGATGGGGGAGGGGCCGGGTGAAAGTGACCCCCCCAAACTACCTAGCCCCCCCTCCGGGATGGGGGAGGAGCCGGGTGAAAGTGACCCCCCAAAATGCCTAGCCCCCCCGCGATGGGGGAGGGGCCGGGTGAAAGTGACCCCCCAAACTACCTAGCCCCCCCCTCCGGGATGGGGGAGGAGCCGGGTGAAAGTGACCCCCCAAAATGCCTAGCCCCCCCGCGATGGGGGAGGGGCCGGGTGAAAGTGACCCCCCCAAAATGCCTAGCCCCCCCGCGATGGGGGGAGGGGCCTGGTGAAAGTGACCCCCCTGTTGGGGGGGTCAGGGACTGGGTGGGGGGGTGACTGAGAGGTTGGGTCCATCACCCCCCCCAGCTCAGTGGGCTCCTTTTGTGCATCCCCGCAAGGGCATCCAGCCCCCCAGGAGCCCTGGGGAAGGGGGAGTCTGGGGCTGTCACCCCGCCCTCCATACACCCACCCCTTCAGTGCTGGGTGGGGGCTCCTGGGCCCAAGGGATGAAATCAGCCCCTCCCCCGGTACATAAATAATACAGGTACAACAACCCCCCCTCAATCCTCCCCCCCCCCCAGCAGGGGAGTGCGGGGGGGCGGAGAAGCTGTTTCAGTAACTATGGATAGACAGAAACCAACCCAGGCTGGGAAGCTGGGCCCAGTCACAAAAGGGTTAACAGAGCCGGAAAGCCGAGGGGGCCAATCATCCTCCCCCCCACCCCCGAACTAGGGGCTGGGGCGGGGGGCAGCACACCCACCCACCCCGCGCCCGGCAGCTGCCGAAAGTGTCTGCGGCGCCCGGTGCCAGCCACCGTCAGGCCCTCGTTTGGAAGGGGAAACTCCATCTTCCATTCTCACTTCTCTGCCCCTCGGAGACGCCGGTGGGGGGTCCGGGGGGCGCACGTGTGCACATGCGGGTGTGTTTGCACATGGGTGTGCGCGTGTGAACAGCCCGAGGGGACGAGCAGCGTGCGAGAAGGAGGGAACGGGAATTGAAGGGCGCTTGCGGAGAGCAGGGTTAAGGAAGGCGAGACACGGGAGGGCAGAAGGAGACAAGGCTGGAGGAAGGAGGACGAGGGATTGAAAAGAGAGAAGGAAAAGGCGAGAAAAGGGAAGACGGCTAGGAAATTGGGGGCGGGGGGGAGAAAAGACCCCAACCCAGCGAATAACCGGCTGCCCTGTTCAGGGGTGAGCCGGGCGCTTGCCAGGCCGGGCTGAGCTCTGCCCCAGAGCGGGCAGAGCCCAGACGCGGTGGGTCCGCGGGAGCTGCCGGTCCCTCGCCTGGCTCTCAGGGGGCTGGTGAGTCACTGGGCCGCAGGCAGCTGGTGTCAGCGACCCCTCGGTGCTGGAGATTCCCACCCAACCCCTGTCATGGGGTCCCCGGGCGATGCTCCCTACGCAGCCAGGCAGGACTCTGGGGGAGCCTCCTCTCCCCAGGGCAAGAAGCTCACCCGGCTTCCACCTTCCTGGGTCTGAACTCGGAGCATCCAGCTTCCTCTGCCCCTCCCTGTGCTTCCCACAGCCAGTCCGCTCAGGCGGGATCCTGGGGGGGCCAGATGGTCCTGCCCCCCAACTCCACAGCCAGATGGGACTCTCAGCCAGCCAGTAAAACAGAAGGTTGATTAGACGACAGGAACATGGTCTAAAACGGAGCTTGTAGGTACAAAGACCAGGACCCCTCAGTCAGGTCCATCTTGGGGGGCAGGGAGGCCAGAGCCCCATCTGGGCCTCCCCCCATTTCCCCAGCCAGCTCCAAACTGAAACTCTCCAGCCCCTTCTCCGGCTTTGTCCCTTTCCCGGGCCAGGAGGCCACCTGATCTCTTTGTTCCCCAACGCCTTCAGTTGGCACCTTGCAGGGGAAGGGCCCAGGCCATCAGTCCCCAGGAGACAGGGTGTCGGCCATCCTCTGTGCAGACGCCATCACACTGGTCCCCTAGGGCACCGCCACAATCACACCGCCTTAGCCCCCCACCTAGATACTTAAGAACTGCCTAGGGGAAACTGAGGCACACAGTATTCAGAGAGAACATTAAGAACATTCCCACTTCGTCACCCCACCCACCCCACACCTCCATTTGTTACAATGGGAGAGTGGTTGGCAGCCGGACCATGGCCAGACAGGTGGGATGTTCAGCTGCTCCCGTCCTTGGACCCAGGACTCTCCAGCCATGCTCTGCCCCTGTCCGCAGGCACCGGGCCTGCCCTGCTGTCCTCCCTTCCATTGGACTGGTGACGGGGGAAGGGTTCTCCCACTTTTATTGAAGAGGAAACTGAGGCACAAAGGGGTGATGCGATTTGCTCACCGTCACACACTGTTAGGGGGAGTAGAACCCAGGAGTCCTGATTCCAGCCTCCTCTGCTCTGGCCACTAGACCTTCTCCCAGATCTGGGGAGAGAACCCAGGAGTCCTGGGTCCCAGGTTCCCCCTCCCACTAGACCACACTCACTCCCCGGGCCGCACCACCAGCATGCAGCTGCATCCGCTCAGTGTCTAGTCCCACCAGGGCAGGGCTGTCCCCAAACACAGGTCTGCTCCAAGAGGGTGGGGGGCAGCCTAGCCAGGGAGGGGTCTTCTGCACAGCCTGGATGCAGGGACCAGAGGAGCTGGCAGACAGCTCTTGGGGCATCTGTGCAGTCTCAGCTCTCCGTCCCCCCAAGTCCCACGTGGCCAGTGCTTCAGAGCCAGCCCCACTGCTGAGAGCAAGGCAGCCCGGGGGGAGGAGGAGTGTAGTCTAGTGGTTGGAACCGGGGGGCGGGGGGCAGTATGGGGAGCCAGGACACCTGGGTTCCATTCCCCATTCTCCCTCCAACTCACCTGGAGACAGCTCACTCCATGTCCTGTCCAACTTACAGAGGAGCAAAAGCCAATTGCTGGGGCTGGCCCCAGGGCCCCTGCCTGTGAGATGTTGGGGGGCCCTGCCAGGGGGTTGGGGCTGGCTAGTGTAGAGGGCAGGAGACTGATGGGGGATGGGGGAGGGACCCAGCCCCCCAAGCTGATGCTACCTATGGACGAATCCCCTGGGAATTTCCTGCTCACACCTGGCTGGGCCAGGGCCATGGAGGGGCACCCCTGCACCTGGGGGGTGGGGCCCTGGCTGTGCATCACCCACCTTCCCGGCAGCAGCCCTGGGGGCGGCCAGGGCCCCTTTCCGGGAGCCTGCTTGTAAATGGGGCCAGGACATGGGGGGCAGGGCACCTTGGAGCCCCCACCCTCAACCCGTTAGCCACTGAGTGGGGACCCCGGCTCTGCGCAGAGGACAGCTCCCACCATGCACCTGGGCAGCAGCGCACGGCTGCCCATAGCGGGCCGGGGGGGTCATAGATGTCACGGACCCACAGACCATGCCCACTCTTGGCCCCACCTCTCTGAGCCTTAGCACACCTGTTTCTCGCCATGGGCCCCCTCAGGGAGTCCCCTCGCTCTGGACCCCCAGGGCCTCCACCCCCCGAAGGGGATGATGCTCCCCGTTCTCTAGTCCGGAGCAACTCTCAGCCGGCGTAAAACAGGAAGGTTTATTGAGCGTTGAACCCAGCACAGGAAACTCTCCGGGACTCAGGTCTGGCCTCCTCCAGCACAGCACATCCCAGTCTCCCCTGAATCCAGGGGGGCTCTGCCTGCTCCCTCCCTCCAGCCCAGAGCCCCCCTGCTTCCCAGCTGGGCATCTGATGTCACCGGCCCCAAGCCGGCCTCTGTCCATTGTCTTCTCTCCAGGTAAACAGGGTCGTAAACAGGGCCACCTGGGCCCCCTCTCCTCTCTCCACAGCCCATTGTCCTCCCTCTGGCCAGACCCGGCTGGGACTCCTGAGCTGGGCCTCCAAGTCACCGGGTCACCAGTCGCTGGGGTCTCCGTTCTCCACGCCAGTGGTTGGGGTCCCATGGTTCCTCGCCGGTCCTCTGTAACCACAAACTCCCTCTCCCATCCCCTCGTTAAACCCGTAGCACCTAGGGAAACTGAGTCCCACCCCCTCTGCATGCAAACCGTAGGAAAACCAAGAAAATCCCCCACAGGAAACAAGGAAAAACAAGAAACTCCCCCACTATGAGTGTCACAATAGACTCAGAGAAGATCAGGGTTGGAAGGGACCTCAGGAGCTATCAAGTCCAGCCCCCTGCTCAGAGCAGGACCAACCCCAACTAAATCATCCCTGCCAGGGCTTTGTCAAGGCCGACCTTAAACACCTCTAAGGAAGGAGATTCCACCACCTCCCTAGGGAACCCATTCCAGTGCTTCACCCCCCTCCTAGTGAAAGTGTTTCCTAATATCCAACGTAAACCTCCCCCACTGCAATTTGAGACCATTACTCCTTGTTCTGTCATCTGCCACCACGGAGAGCAGCTGAGCTCCATCCTCTTTGGACCCCCCTTCAGGTGGTTGAAGGCTGCTATCAAATCCCCCCTCATTCTTCTCCTCTGCAGACTAAATAACCCCAGTTCCCTCAGCCTCTCCTCGTAAGCCATGTGCTCCAGCCCCCTGATCATTTCCGTTGCCCTCCGCTGGGCTCTCTCCAATCTGTCCACATCCCTTCTGCAGTGGGGGGCCCAAAACTGGACGCAATACTCCAGGTGGGGCCTCCCCAGTGCCGAATAGAGGGGAACGATCACGCCCCTCGATCTGCTGGCAATGCTCCTGCTAATGCAGCCTCACGTCTCTGCCTCGTGACACCAGCCGGGCCTCGGCCGATCCCTCCCCCCCCAGGTGCTGCCCCAGGGGGCGGCTGGGCCCACGGCCTGCTGGGTGCTGGGCATGGGGCGGCTTG